TTGAGATAGTAGACAAAATATTTCTATTTTATTATTTAATCAATATAATTATCATCTTAATATATAAATTATCGAAATTAGAAAAAAAAAATTCATATTAAATAAAATCAACTCTTTTTATTTAAGAACATTAAACTTAATTGTTTATGTCAATATCAACTGAATTCATTTAGTTTTTTTTTTGTTTTTTAAATAACTCGTTTTTATTTTAAAATGAGCTAATCTAGAGAAAAATCTCTGAATCATCACAAATAAAAACGTAGCTGAACTGAAAAAAAAAAGTTTAACCTAGTTTCTATTATCATGCCTCTTGAAAATTTAGAATAAATTAATTTCCTATAAGTTGGTTGAGCAATTCTCAATAAGAAAAAAATGACATGTTGACGATATAAATAAGCTAATATTTTGAATAAAATAAGAAAAGTTATATATAATGAACAGTTTCGAGATGTTACTCAATTTAAAAATCTAGTCAAAGAAAAATGTTTTATTGAAATGAGTATCAACTAGATTATTTATTATTCTAATAATAGAAAAGGTGATAAAATATATAAATGAAGTTGAATAGTGTCAACATAATTAGTAAAATGAAAGTGATGAAAAAAAAAATTGTTGGATTTTGTTTTTGTTTGATGTTTAATATTAATTGGTGAGAATAAGATAATATATATATATAATAAATAAAAAACTTCTAATTAAAGTTGATAATATATATCTCTACCAATAATATTATTGATAAAATGTTTTTCAATGATTTAATTATAAAAAAACCTTCTATTGAATTATATTCTAATCTATATGAATAGAAAAAGTTTTATTCTATAGAATAAAATTTGTTTATGATAATAAAATATTTAAGATAAAGAATGAAATATGTCTGTCTTATAGTTTATTTAGACGATTTCATGAAAGTTTTTCGAAAAGTGATTCGAAGATAAAAAATGGTAGAGAATATATTTATCTCGAAATATATTGATCTATTTATGAAAAATGATTTATTATTGATAGTGAAAAAATGTGAAAGGAAAGAAATTGGATAAAATGATGACTGTTTATTTGAGGTAAAACTTCTATTAATTATAAAATTTGAAAGAATCCTATCGAAGATTGTATAATAAGGATATTTTAATCGATAAATAAAAATAATTAACTCAATGACTAAGAAAATAATTTCGAAATTGAATAAGAAAGATTTATCAAATATTTAATTATTTTATTTCGATATTTAATTAATAATTGAATAAATAAATAAAAATGATTTATATTATTGAATGATAAAAATTCTTTTTATATAGATAAACTTTGAAAAACAGCTAAACATATCAATTGAAATTATTTTCCAGATGATGGATTTCTCTATTCAAAGATCTATCCAACCAACAAAAAAGTCTTTTATTCAAGATATTTAAGTGGTTATTCAAGATATTTAAGTGGCAACAATCAAACTTGAAAATAATGTTATAGAGTAGAATTGTAATATTTTTATCTCGTTTCATTTCATGACTTTTATATAAAAAAGTCATTTGTTTTTTTAGTTTCTATTATAAGACTTTTCTAGAAGAAAATATTTTCAAATCTTTTTTAAATAAAAAAACAATTTTTCTATAAAACTTTGTCAAACTATGAAAAAAACGAGAGAATAGAAAAATGATATATTATTAATGGATTATTGATTCAATTGGAAATCTTCTTTTATAAAGAGTTTATATTGAATAATATAAAATATATAGGTTAAATAAAAATGATCATCCATATATAAATCGTATATTGATTTGTAATATGTCTAACATTTCTCGGACCATCCATAAATAACATCCATGAAAAGGATAGAAGAATATATTAAATATGATTATATCCTTGAACAACGAACACAACGGATTATATGCATCTAGATCTTCCTACAGTTTTCATTATATTTTTTCTTCTTTTTTATGATCATTTTCAATAAGAACAATTTATAACAATTCTATCATCTATGATCAATAAATAAATAAATAACATATAAACCGTTTAATAAAAAGAAGACGACTCTATTGGAATAAATAGACTCTTTCAAAAAAAAAACACATTTGAAAGTGAATGTGTCAACCGATAGAAGAACGGGTCAGTCGAAAACGGAGAGAATAAGAAACGACTCAAAAAAAAACCTCTTTCTAGGTGTACATCGTTTATGTATGACTCCCTTAATATCATATTGAAATTGATATATATTATGAATAGTACTATTAATAAATATATAAATAGTTAATCTATTGTTTATATTTAAACTAATGAATAATTATATTATTTAGAAATAAAAAGCAAAAGATAAAGTGAAATAAATATATTTTTATCTGCTTTTATTTTCAATATAAACTATCCGATGAAAGAAATTATTTAAGTAAAATAGAATATAAACGAAGTCTAATTTGATATTGAATAGTATTGATATGTTAATAACAGTCAGTATAATGGATTACATAAGTCAACTTATTTTATTTTTTTATTATTTATTTTAAATAAAACGATGTAAAAGATAAAAGTCATTCAGTATAATATAATAAACATTTCTATTAATAAACTTTTGTTTCCTTTTAGTAAGAAATAAAATATCTATTCTCTTGAATATTTTCTAACAAATTATTAAACTAGTGTAAAAATTTAATTGATCAATTAAAAAAAAATATCTATTTGATGATGAGTGAAATAAACTTGTCGAATTTAACTAGATGAAAAGAAAAAAAGAAAAGATTATTCTCTTAAATATTTATTTTATTAAATAAATAATCGTTAATATGATGATAAAAAGTGTTGATAGAGAGTAAAGCATGTGTTACCTAAGAATACTAAGGACAATAACGTGTCATTTCAGTAACAGTACATAAAGTTTGGCAACAAGCTTCAGTTAACAATTTCCGTTGTAAGAATCTTCTAAAACGTATTGAATTTGGATTTTTTCGTTTTTGTTGTTGAACAACTTCACAAGCGATACTGACCATTTGCAAAAGATAGGTACCACATGCATGATAAGCTCGATGAAGAGTACAATCTTCCACTTTATAAAGTTTACCTTTTATTTCAAAACTTTCTCCTTCTTTTAAAATACGTCCATCATGTTTTGCACTGCAATTCATTTTATCATTATATAAAACTGTTCGACTCCAAACATTTTGATTAAATATAACCAATAGGTAGAAGATAAATACAGGAAAAAACATTACCATTTTAATCAATTAAATCAGGTCAAACAGTTCGATTTGAACTAAATATAAATATAATCAATTATTAAAACAAATAAAACAAAACAAAATTTATAAAAAAATCTACGAATCAGTTGAATTAAATTCGAATTTCTATCGTTGATAAAACTCTTTGGAATTTCTATGATATAAATGACGTCAATACTTAAACAAACTCATTATTTATATATAACTGTTAAAAAGAAAATTAAGAATTAAAAAATGAGTTAGAAATGAATTCTTTTTAAAATAAAAATTTTCATTATAAGAATATCTAGATGAAGAAAACTAGAAATTATTTCCCTCCTACATCTATATCCTAACGTTTTTTTTTCTTGTTTAGAAAACTCATTATCTACTGTTAACTAAAATAATAATTATTTTATAATTATTGATCAATTCAATTAAGATGACAATTATTATTCTTAACTAGACAAAACCAACTTATATAAAACAATATTTTACACCAACCTTTTTCCTTTTTCAATCTTTTGTTTTTGTTTTCAATAAGATATTTAATTAATTTTAACTTTAAATAATCTTATCGAATGAAAAATCTTTCATATGTCTCTTTGTTTTTTTTAAAATTTTATTCGATGTGTAAACATAACATAGGAAAACACGATTCGACTAATCATCAACTTACTTACTTTATTTTATTTTCTTGAACAAACCTCTTGAAAAATATTTCGAGAACAATAAATTCGATGCGATGTTTTTTTCTTAATGGTTAATCTATATAAAATAATCTTACTGAATATTCAAGAAAATTTTTCAAAACTTTTTTCAACTTTCAATTTTCAACTAATAAACATATTTAATCAATCTCGAAACTTTTCATTTTTTCCTTGACTCATTCAAAAGCCATTCGATACAGTTTATCACACTCGATTTATCCTATAAAAATGAGATTTATTGGATGGACTCTCCAGCTTTTACGAAGGTTTTATCATTCCCTAATACTCTTACATAAAAAGATCCTTTTTCTCCAATGACGATGATAAAACTCGAATTTCTTGTGAAAATATATCTCCAAATGAAATCTTTCTAGAGCCTGTTTTCTAGACGATCGAATAGTCTTTTAAACGATTAAAAAAAGATTTTCTCTAAACTATTTTTCCTTAAATAAAAAAATAGAAAAAACAAATGTAACACTGTTACATAGGTTTTTTTTCGACCAATTTTGAGGTATTTAATATACTCACATGTAAAGTTCCAGACAAAAATTTAAGTGAAATTGATTTTTCAGTATTTTTTTTT